TCATCTGCAAATAATCTGAATTGCCTTAAGTACGCTGGTATTTGTACTGAGACCAACTTAGTACACGTCTGGTTACTATGGAGGATTACAGGTACTTATTGGAAGCAAATTACCAAGTGCACTATGGACACATTGCGTAATTCATTGAGAAGCACTTGCGTCAAAGCATTTGAGTGCTGCGCTAAATCGGGTTATAGAATGCGTGCTGAATGTTGTAAATTTTATAAAATCAAGTCCATTGAAAGTGAGGCTTTTTAAAAAATTGTGTGAAGATATGGAACCCGAATATTCGTCTTTCTTGGACTATAGCAGTTCACGAAAGATCTCTTATGATAATGTTTTATCACGTAGTTTTGAACGCGGGAATACATTTTTATTTTGTTTAAAGAGGAAGAATGCAAAAATGCAGATGATTTTGCTGATGCCGATTTTTTAATAAAACTGGTATACGACATTTTTGAAAAGATGTGAAGGAAATGATGCAGCCGAAGATTGTTTTTTTAATATTGCAGCAACTTTTGATGTAAAATGAACTTTTGAACTTTCTCAAAATATAAAAACCATATTTGAAAGGAATTCAGCTGAATATCTGGTTTAAAAAATACTTTTAAAATGAAAATTTCGATATATTTGCAAGGATCAAGATCCATTTATCACTAGTGCTGCGTCTGAATTCACTGCTGAGGAAGAACAAAATCTTATCGAATTATCTTGCGACAACATTTTCAAAACAAAATTTGGCAGCATGGAATCGGCAGAAATTTGGACTTCAATGAAAGATGAGTATAGGGAATACTCATCTTTCTTTGAAGTCCAGGCTCGGGAAGATTTTAATTCAATTTTCGACGTAGCTTGTTTTTGTGTGAAGCTTGGTTTCCATCGGTCGTGTTGCAGGGTTTCCCTTAGTTCAGTTAACCAATTATTCAAATTTTTGTTATCTTTTCGGAACTCCTCAACTTCCCCTCGCATTTCCTCGCCAGGATGCAAATTTAGAGTTAAGTGAATTGAGTATTTAAAAGGGTGAGTCCTGAGTTTATTCAGAGCGTGTTTTCGCTAACCAGCGCACGTTAGGAGTCTATCCTTGCTAATACGCGGAATTGCTGATACGCCTCTTTGGCCGTTTAAATAATTATCATGCCCGGTAAGTTGCCGAGTCAACTTAGTTAACCTTAACTTCAAGTGCTAGTCCAGCACTAATCTTTAGCCTCGAATTTATTGTGTAACGATTCTTAATTTCCACCGCAAGTTGTCGGTGTCAGTTTAAGTATGAAATACATGCCTTTCTGTTCAGAGTTGAATAATAATAAAGGGTTATTTTTACCCTTCTTCTGTGTTGGTTTTGTAGCCAGGTTCTTTAGTAGGATCAAGTAGAGTTTATGCGGTCAAAGAGAAAACGATCCTACAGTGTAATAAAAAGCAGGGATAGAGCAAAAATCAACATGGGAAAGAAAATGAACGTGGCCATGTATTGCTTAATTCCACGGTTTGAGAAAATGTGCATTGATTTGCAGGCGCATCCATCACATTTGATGTTAATAGTAATTATTAATTTAATGTTATTAGTCAATAAAGTAAAAAAGTTAAATAATGGAGATACACGAGTTTATTTTATTTATGCCTTATGATTAGTTACAATTTTGTTTAGGATAGGGCGCTGTAGAATAATTTAATTAAAAAGAGGCGCCGCAACTCGAAAAGGTTTGGCAACCACTGTCTTAATATCAATGCTGTTAGCCGAATAACCCTGTGTAGGTTGCGATAATTAATTAAGTGAAATAGAGGTTCCGATTATGATTTACTTTCACGATACCTGCATAATATTTAAACTGACATTCATTTCTAGAATAAGCATAGTCACGATATTTAACGCTAGATGTCCGGAATTTGGGATTCTGAGATTCCCGAAATTATCTAGGCTTATTCCCCACAGTCTCCCTCACGTAATTTCATGGGCTGGATTTTCATTTCCTGAACAAAAATTCCTGTTTCGAGGTTACGGCATTATTGGATTTCTGCAACACGGTTAGAGACAAATTGTTTCCAGCCGCGAACACAGCTCTTCATCCGGTAAAAAACATATTTGCGAATTTGTCCAACAAATGTATTATTGGGTTTAAGAAATACACACATGTGCACAATTAAAAGAATTTTCGAAAAATGTATATTTTTATGAAAAATATTGAAACAAAGGTATTAATTATGCCGCCGAAGAATTACGCAAATATTCAGAGTCGAATACCTAAGCCTAAAGGTGCGAGTCCGCGAAATTACTTTTGTAGGGGATATAAGCCCACGAGAGGTGTGCTCGTACTTCTTCACGACTTTCACCGTGTTTTCTTGCAAGAGTTAGGTAAATTTTATATGACATCAGGTAATATGAGAAAGCACGAACGTACGAATGACAGAATGAGATGGAGCATTGTGGGTAGATGGTAAGTAGACAAATCACAAACGCAGGTGGCTACCGAGCTCATTGTAAGGCCATTTTTGTCTGTAAATTGTGAAAACAGTTTCAGGAAATTGGATCCATATTGAGAAAACTTCCCCAAGATACACCAAGATCCGCAACGACGAATGATTGTTACTTGGCATTTTCAGCGTGGTGACGCGGGACTACTACAGCTTCACAGCTCCCACGTGAGCTGCATGCTGCCACTGGAACCCGAGTTTTACGGTTTACAGTTGCCCGAAAGCTTCATGAGCTCGCGCGGTATAACAAAAGACGCGCTGTTTGCGTCTCACTTACTGCAGCACACAAAAGAATGACTTTAGCATGGCGCAGACAACATGCAACTTAAAAACATGCGACAACATGCGACTTAGAAAAGACTTCAGTGGAGCAGCGTGCGTTTCACTGATGAGGCGAAAATCAGCCCGGTCACTGATTTTCGTCTACCTATATCTGGAAACCGCCTAGAATACGGTATTGACCTTCTCTTATCATAGAAAAGGATCATTATGGTGATGGAGGTGTTATGGTTTGGGAAGGCATTAGGTTAGACTATCCCACATAACTGTATATTTTTGAAAAAGGATCCCTGACTACTATGATGTATAAAGGAGAGATCTTAGGACCCTATGTTCTAATTTTTAGGAGCCAATGTGTCCTGGGTTTCTGTTAATGGACGACAACAAACATAACATCCACATAAATCTCAGCTGTTCGACGATTGCGTGGAAAGTGAGGATATTCATCGCATGGATTTGCCAGTTAAATTTCCTAACCTTAACCCTATACGGCATGTCTGGGACGCTCTTGAGAGGGCAATTTTATCTCGCCGTCTTGTTATTACTAGAACCCTCCGGGAGTTGAAAATATCCTTGCGTCCAGTATGCCTTTATGCTACGCGACCTGTCTGGCTATTAGAGGAATTATACCACATAGTAGACTCATTTTTAGTTCAGTATCACAACGCGCATTTTCGACATCTCTGTACTATGAGCTTTACTGATAACCATGCGTTGGTATGTCTCTTTCTGTCTTATAAATGTATATTCATATGAAGTTTCATTAAAATCTGTCCATTAACGTTTCAGAAATTCGACATAATGAGGAAATTCTCTTAATTTTACGCACCATAATATACACCCATTTGGGAATAGTGGCGGTGACGCTCCGGACATTTGCATTTATTTGCAAATTTTTGCGATCGTACTTTCCTTTCTTTCCGGCGCGCTATATTTAATAGTCCTGAGCGTCTATTCAAAACACTATTAGTATATCATATTCTATGCCAATTTTTCTAAATTACCACATTTATTTTTCATATTCACATCATTATCAAAATAATTATTAAATTCTTAAACTAATTTAAAGGTTCTTTGAAACAATAATTCAAAAATATGATTAATAACAGAGTAATTTTAATAACCTTCCCTAAATAAAATAATTATAAGTTTGAAATTTGTTACTAAATCAAGTTTATTCATTATAATAATTAAAATAAATTACTAATATTCAAAATACGAGTAATAGTAATGATCAGCAATTTCCATATGTTTATAATATACAAATTTCTAGCTGTATAAAACCTTACTTTATTCATATAATACCTAATATAAAATTATAAAATCCACAGTACGGTTAGAGTTTCCGATTGACGAATAAAATAGAAAAAAAGAGATGAAGTGAAAATAAATTTAAAGCGCAAACTTGAAGCACATTCTTCAAACATAGATTAGATTAACGACCTTCAAAGTACTGGAAATGCGTAGGTGAAATCATTTGGGATGTTCCCTGAAAACTTATTAAATCACTTTTAATATAAATCTTTGGCTGGAATAATTTTAAGCACTGTAGATGACAGTATTTTTTTCCTTTTCTGGATCTTAAATAGATCAAAAACGATGTTTCATATGCATGAAAAATAAAATAAAATTAGTAGTCATGGCAAGTGTGTGGCAAAATAACCACAAATTAGTCTTTCTGGTTAACACATTTTATAATTCCGTACGTGAATCTTCCACCCGCATTTACGACATTCTCTCCGACTAGATGCAATGAAGCAGATTTAGATGTAATAATGTAGGAACATTGGGCTGTGCAGATATTGAGATGTTGATCTTAAGCGAAAACTAAACTTGGCAGCGAGGCAGATTAAACATTCATTTTTATTTCAATTGACAGTTGTGGCCACAACTCACTTGGCACTCTAATCGTGCCTGTTTCCAGTAGATTTACATTTTTGATATTGTTGCGATAGAAGAAAAACAGCGCGACAGCCTCTTAGCGGTTTCAGAAGTAGAAGCAAACTGCATAGTTATCTAGTATTGCAGCTTATTCGATTTCGGTTCTCTAAACTTTGAGCAATGCCATATGGTGTCTGATTCATAATTTAAGTACTCTAATAGATTTCGTTTTAAATTTTGACATCTTCCTGGGATGGTTTAATGTACTTTTACTAATTTATTAATTTACGTTTATATATATATATATATATATATATATATATTTGATATATATCAAGAGAAATATTATAACAGATATAAAATGTATTTACTTCTTCTGTAGCAGTCTCAATACAAGACCAAGATTTCTTATATGCTTCTTCTCCTAAATGAAAAAGCAAAACAAAAATTAAAGCATTCGTAAAATAAGTACTACATACAAACTGACAATTTTAGAACGAAATCTGTTTTATGAACGTTCCGTTTAGCAAATTATTTGATCGTCTGTTTACAAAATTTAGAGTTTTCTTATAAAAATATGCAAATTGTGAAGTTTAACAAAATTATTCCAACTCGACTCATAATTTGTGAGGATTTTTAAGTTTTACTAACGTTTATTTTATTTTAAAACTTTGCTACCAACTTTTATTTTCCATTTCCGGCCGCCAGATTAAGCGCGATTAGATTTGTTTATGCAAATTAGGTTGTAAACTGTATAAGTATTTATGCCTACTGTATTCAGTATAAGTATTTATGCCTACTGTATTCATTATAAGTATTTATGCCTACTGTATTATAAGATACGGCTTTTAGCCAAAAGAGAGAGAGATAGACTTCTCGCTGCCTTACCACACCGCGTGCTCTTCAGTCAGTTCATGTCTGCCTTTACCAGAACTTAATAACTCTCGCTGATATTTGAAGATGTACTGTAACTACTCTTTGTAAAGCATCTAAGTTTAGTTTTCATTTTAGTTAGTTTAGTTCTTATTTTCTACGTTTTAAACCACAAGTGCTGGTCTTTGTATCCCGAGGGGCGAGACGGCTGTACGCTGTGAGAAATAAAGGGTAAATTTTACCCTTCTCATCTTTGTCGTATCTTCTACACACGCACGAACAAAGCCTTGAGTAAGCTCCCTATTCCTACGCAGGAATCTAGTTATGTTTCCAAGATCTGACAACTTTACCATGGCATTTTATAATTTTGAATCTTGAAAAGCTTCTTTTCTGTTTATTGTTGTAATTTACTCTGCGATATATGCGATGCCCTTGTATGACCGCTTAAGACACTGAGGGAATGCCAAGAACTTTTTTTTCACATCACCTTTGCTTTCAACATAACTGTGACTGAGAACCGTTAGTTAACCGAGGCCGAGAATCATTTCACTATCCCTCTGTTTTACAAATTCCACAGCAATATAGTCTTTCTATAACTCATTCAGTAAACATTTTCTTCCAAGCTCGATTACTCAGTTTTCTACGAGAAGGAACTTCGAGAAAGGTGACTACCACAATTTAAGTTCTGAGTCCGTACCCAACATAAACATAAACTTATTAGATGGTAGGATATATTGTCAGAAAGCCTTCACTGATTTAGAAAGAGTACTACTTGTGTGCCGCTGGCATATTTTATTACATTTATCACATTAAGCATACAAATCTACATTTTTGATAAACTTAAAGCAACAGATACGAAACCTACGTGTTTAATGATCAAAGGAAAAATGTTGATATTTTGTTTCTCAAATAGTTCGATAAAAGTCCGTAGGAAAAAAGATATAACACTAAAATTCGATCCTTCTCAGAATTGTTTATCAAACAACATTTAAAAATTAGGATACTATTTTGGACTGTTCCTAGATGTTATCTGTCTTTCTAGCGTGAGATGAAACGGACAACAGGTGTGATTTTATAAAGCCTTTGACAAAGCTACGTTTAAGCAACTACTCTCCATCTGAGATAAAAGTAATTAGGCAAGGAAGGGTTTAGTAATGAGAAAGCCCCTGGAATTTTCAGCAGATTGAGAGCAAACTGTTTTCAGGCGAACATTAGGTGGAAAAGTGTGTGGCACGAAAAATTCACTAAAATGTAAAGGATTGTGACAGAAATTATTTGCTATTAAAATTATGATGTGATTGTAAATCACAGTTAATCTATATGTCAGATAAAAAAATAGGAAGAAACTGTTTGAAACGAAAGACATATTCAGTGCGAAGGAGATAGGACTCTTTTCTAAATAATTATCGCCAAACAAGTGTTACATAATAATGGCTAATGCAGGTAGTCCAGAAGCTGGAAAATGAAATGCCGTTTATTAAAAAAGGAAACTTTGAAGATATTTAAGAAGATTTACAGTAGATGTCAGACTGAAAGCGATACTACTCGGGATAGCGTGGGCCGTTAAGTACAAATCACAGTTAATCTGAACACTTTTGAAACGTATACAAGATATAACCAGCATTGTAATTCATGAAAAGAATATTTTTTATGAAAGTGCCTCTATTTTTAAGCAGATTAATCTAGAAAATACCTGCACTTTATGACGCAAACTAAATCACTATTTGTTTCAACATTTTGCTATAATTAATGAAAGAATAAATGTTATTAGAAATGAAGAAACATAGTAATAAATCACATTAAAAACAATGTTAACAAGAATCCTTGAACTATGTCATTGAATTCAAACTCGTGTAAAAAAATCTATTGGAATTTTTGATTTTTTTAGCAGATATTTTTTACGATCTAAGGTCTGTTGTTATTGTGATTTAGCGCACTTGTTTGGCAGTGTCATTAGAAGTTAATGAATTTTATTGTTGCAAGGAGCGCAGGAATGCGCCATCGTTGGCATGGACCTTTCAAGTGACCATATATACATAAATTTATAAGTGTCACCATACAAGTACAATTCGAATTTGCCCACCCTTTCCGTTCCACCCTTTCCAGTTGAAGCCGAATCCTCAAGGGCAGAATCCCCCCATAGACTTCCGCGCCTCTTCCCCTACCCTCAAACTACTCGAAAGGAGTTTCAGCTCGACGCGTATTTTAAGTGTCCGCATGGTGCAGAGACTATCCAAGCATGGCCCAATTACTGGTCGTGAACTCCTTAACATCAATCATAACTTAAAATCCTACTAGGTCCCCCCATGCTAACCCCCTTAAAATCATACTAGTGTCTAAGAGAAACACGAGAGTACCGGCTATCCCCATCTCAGATGATCTTCGGTCGAGACCTTCGTCTGCCTTCTGATCTCTTGTTTGGTAGCCCTCCGGATGCGCCTTCATCACCTGAGGAATACATCTAAGACCTTCAGGCAGGGTTTGAAGTGACGCACATTTTCGGACGAGAGCGAGTCAACTTGGCGACGGAGAAAATGAAGACCCTATACGACACGAGAGCTACTAGACATCGATTCAACGAAGGAGACAAGGCGTGGTTGTGGAAACCAACTCGACGGAGAGGACTCTCTCCTAAACTACAGTCTCCTTGGAATCCATACACAGTCCTACACAGGCTGAACGACGTCGTGGTTCGGATCCGTAAGTCATCGAACTCTAAGTAGTTTATTACGACAGGCTAGCTCCTTACTGCGGCTACAGTACATAGTGTATTAAACGTAAATAATATAAGATCATGTTCTTTTTTTTTTTTTTTTAATTTGTAAATTTACGCACTCATTTATTGATTTGTATTTGATTTATTTTGTATTGTAATGTTTATTACTGCATTGATTCTTTAGTTGTAAGTATGCCTTCCTTTCCAGGGATTGTAGTGCCCGGGACGTGCAGTCCTTGGGAAGGGAGCAGTTTTACGAATTTTGTATTTAGTGAGATATTTTTAATAGAATTATAATTAAAATTGTTTTATTTAGTCGTGCAACGCAGCACGTGGCGTATTTTAAGAGGAAGCTACGCCGGAAAAGTTAAAATACAGGAACACGTGCATTTAACATTGAAAAAATGCTTATCTCGCTAGTTTATATTTAATTTGAATAAATGTAATTCACTAGTATGTTAGCTGTAACCGAATTCTACTCTTTTTGCTTTCCAGAAATTGATAGAACTGTCTCGCGCGGCTGATTTGAAAAGCTATAAAACGCCAGAACGAGAACATCTCAGCTCCATTTGTTTAGATAACTGTTGTTGATTGTAGCGAATTTGCGGTGACATCGGATTAGTTTTCTCTGCGCTTTGGATTGCGTTCTATTTAGCGTTTTAGTAGCTTAAAATATAGCTACTGATTATATTGCGTGATATTGTGATATAGTACGAACATCGCTGTGAGAAAATTGACGCGTTTTTGGTATTTCTTTGTGATAAGAATAAATTTTATTAACTTTTTATCGGACTTGTTCAATCAATATATTACGAACCCGTACGCACATAACAATATCATTCAACGGAGTTTTGAGAAACAAATCTAACTTAATAAAATAAAATAATATTGATAACGGAAGGCATTAGTTACATTAGGCTAGATACTACGTAAAATAAAAGGCAACAAAAGTATTTACCTGATGTACATTGAATCTAAATTGGTACCTCTTTCATGCAGTTTCTTAATGAAATCTTCAAATCTACCTTTTTAAAACGTTTTTTAAAAAGTTCCTAATAATTTTATTTTAAAACCTATAATAATATAGAGAGAATTTAAAGTTTCTGGAAACTCTGTTTACGAGACGTTTTATTGCAAAAATTTAAATTAAGTAAACCATAATTTTTTTATGTATGTCCATTGGCCCCTCAACATCCGAAGAAAAACAATATAAAATTTTTAACTTTAGCAATACATCGTTTTAACAAAAACTTTTATACGGCCTTTATTTTCGCAACAGTTAGTCGCAGGCATGTACTTCTTATTACAAAAATACTTTAAATGAAACAAATATTTATACTTTAGCATTTTTAATTTAAATTTATTAGTTTTGTGAAAATTACGATAATTAACTCTTTATTCGTTCCTGAGGTGCCAATAAATACATTTAGGAGCATTTTGTATTCAATATAAAAAATAAAACACAAAACATTTGGCCGGTTAGTAAATATATTAGACAAAGTTGAGGTAAATTTTTCCTTAAATTCCAGTAAATGATATTCTTTCGTGATTTACTAGTGCTTAATTTCTTTTCATATTTTGCATGCCAAGAAAATTATATATATATATATATATATATATAATAATTTATTTCCTAAACAATATTGATTAATTGATTATATTATCTCCGAAGTTTAATTAAGTAGAATTATTTTAAAAGAGTGTGAATCCGTACTGGTAAGTTATATTTTAAAAGATGTTTTGAAGTAATTTGAAAGCAAAATGTTAATAATGTTTTAACGGGGACTGGAGTTAAATCATCATGAAGAAAAAAAATTCAATTGTAAAAGGAAAAA